TGCCTAGAGCATCCACTGTCAAAGTACCATGTTTCATTCTTTTCGACATTTCGTATGGATAATGCAACTAGACATGCTCCTTGATTCCTTTTCGGTTTCCACACCAATCTTGCTATGATACTGTCCTTCAATTGCTTTGATAGCCCAAAAATTTTTCTCCCCGGAGACAAATCTCGTCTGATTTGATCACAGTTCACTAACTGATGTCCTGTTCGTTTGCAATACTTACAGCTTGATAGTTGTCTGTCCAACTTCTAATAGTTGTCTGTCCAACTTCCAGACATTTCTTTCATTCTTGAAAGTATTTCGAACAGATTGGATTCCACCAGCAGAATCACTTTCAGTTGATTCTGAGAGTAACCCACCATTGATAAATTTTGTCTGAGAAGTTCCAGCTTTATAAATATATCCAATTCCACTGTGATCTCCATACGGTTTCCTAACATTAAGTACCTCATTAAGCTTTTGTTTCCCCTTCATTAACCTGCTGATTTCGTTTTCCAATTCCTTCTTTTCCATCTCCAACTTGCCAATTTTCTCCATCTGTTCATTTGAAGATTGAAACAATTTTTCATGTTCCACAGCAAACTCATCTTTCATTTATGTTATTTTTCCATTCACTTCCATTAATACCTCGATCTTCTTATTCAGCCTCATAACACAGGCCTTCAATTTTTCATTTTGCACAACCAAGATTGTATGCTCAGCAACTAGCACATCATACGCCTCAACCAATTCTTCACAGCTCATTTCAGTAAATTTAACATCCTATTTTGCTTCTTTCTTCTCATCATCCTCTATAGTAAAAGCAACCAATTCACCCTCCACATTTTTTTGTTTCTCTTGGACAGTTCCTTGTTCCTCGATTTCATCGTCGCTCCATGCAACTCCCATTGCTATCTTATCTTTTTTCTTGGCAGTTGGACACTCAGCCCCTGACATGCCCATACCTATTGCATCCATAACACCTGATGTCATCTGGTATGCCTAATTTCTTTGACACTTTAACCATCTTCGATCCATCACCCTTGTGAACACCGGCCTTAGTAAGGGCACCAAATTTTTGGAAATTTTGCAGAGAGTGTCTGTCAGTTGTTCAGACTGCGTTCGGACTGCCTGTCTGATATCCTTGTTGGTTCAACTTTTTGGCCTTCTTATCCTGGATTATATGAGCCATTCGTTTTGTGATGAGAGCAAGTTCTTAATCACTGTCTTCAACAGCAGTAATTTTAGACCCAACTGATGTGCTTGACTTACTAAAGACTTGAAACGTTTTTATATTCAAGAATGGATTCGTCTTCCCTCATGAACAAACGATCGAACTCTCTTTCAACTGTCTGAAGCTTAGATTTCTTAACCTTCTTGTCACCTTCAAATGTTTCAATTAATGCATCCCACACCTCCTTAGCAATAGTGCGGGTAGATACAATTTCGAGTAGCGAAAGATTCACTCCACTAATGATGATACAATTGATTTCTTAACTTTCTTGTCACCTTCAAAGCTTTGATACCAATTGTAGGTCCCCAAACACTCAACTCGCATACACAGCAGCACCAAACACTTAGAAGAACAATGAACCAGTAAATACCCAAAGCACATATTAGTTGTTTGCTTCTGGGGCAAACTACGAATGCTTATAGTACTGAAGACAATGGAAATAACACAACCAAGTTGTTAACCTAGTACGGCTGCACCAGCCTACTTCTGGAGTGTTCTAACCCAGGTGTAATCTCCTATGTAAAACATCAAAACTTCAAGATACATGGACATCATTTAATCTACCTGCGTCAAGAAATTTTCCATATTTCTTAACCCTTCCTCAACTTAAATGCTACCCAGGCTACCTCTCCATATTGTTTTGTTTTTCTGATTATCTTTTGTATATCACCTTTCCACACCCTCTCATAATCTAACAAACTCTGCACTAAAAGTCCCACTCACCCATCAGTTGAAAATTGAATAGATTCCTCTTTTTTCACTTGCAGGACACCTCATCACCTGGACCATACTCATCATCATCAATCGGTTTTTGGGACATAGGCTAAATGAGTCTCCTTAACAATTGGGTTGAAATGACGAAAAGCCCAGTCTTCAATTGAAATGACGAAGGCCCAGTCTTCAATTGAAGTCCATCTGTTGTCTAGACTGCCTGCAGACATCAACCAAAATTCAAACAAATGACCAGTAACGACACCTACCTTTAGTTATTTATTAACAAGTGCAAGAATATGTGAAATAATACGATGAGGAGGGTTGCCTTAAGATTTTAGTTGTTATAATACTTAATATAGGTATGGAAAACGATGATTTATGTAGTTGTCACAATAGCAAAGAGCATGCTAATGATACTTCAAAAATAAAAACAAATAAATCAAGTGCTGAGACAATGTTTACAATTTAAGTCTATTCAGGGGATAGCTTTTCTTTCTCCTGTATATAGTTGATAGAACTCTAGTAGTTGGTTCGATGAAATAATGATCAAATTGCACGAGGAAAGATAACATCGTAGAAATAGACTATTACCAGGTGGGGACATGTAATTCTGCTTTTACACCATACTGTTGATGTCAAAACCAGCACCAGTCCAACCAAATGATGCAGGATTTCTACCCCTAGGTACTGCTCCTATTCCCTTTAGTTTACCATGGATAACACTTTTCTTTCCCCCTCTTGCTCCATCAACAAATGGGTGTGGCCCTTCATCTATAGGATTCTCAGCATTCTCAAGCTTAGAAGATGTAGTTGGGATTGCAAAAAGTATTATTCTATGCTGGTCTTTGGTTTCCATCCTATACATAATATAGAAGTCATGAAATTTCTTAAAAGTACATAAATGCTCATGAAAGTGCATATCATACACTAATGATTCTTTGCCGCGGTAGGTTCTCCTTATGCAGTGACCGAACAAGTTTTGAGGTTCCGGGTGGGTAAAATTGTCATGTTTGTCTATTTCAATTTTTTTTTACTATTTATTTTTAGTTTCAATTTATTTCGAGCCTTGACATAGCCTATTGTTTTTTATTTGAATTAATCATTCGGCTGTTTGTGTATGTAAAAGAAATAATATAAGAATATTCTTGTCGATTTATTTCTACCAAATTGATATCATCTAACTTTTTCAATTTCCATTGACACTATAATATAGTTGTGAAAAAGAAAAGAAATGAACGGGACAAAAGAAATAGTACGAAATTATAACAATAGTAATATATAAGATAAAAATATTTTATTTTTTTATATAACATATTTATAAATATAAATATTATATATTATTATAAATTAAAATAATAATAATACGGAGGTTCATCTAGAGTATTAATTATAAATTGGAGTTGCAAATCTTAATTACTATATAAAAAATTACACTAATAAAAAAAATTTGGGAGCCCCAAGGTGGATCCGTCGCTGCCCTTATGCATCAAACAAGTCATTAAAATAAAGACTTGTAACTCATGAGGAATCTGAAAAACAAATCAAACAAGAAAATATAGTGTCTGATAAACATTGTAGGAGCCACTATGCAGTATCACACTAGTCTATTTGCAAATCTTAGTTCCTGAAATATTTATTCAGGGGGGACTATGAAGGAATAATAGTTAAGATACAACTAACTTTACTATTGGATAGCAAAAAATCTCTCTTAATTCTATGAATCCAATGAATATTTACATGAAAAATGTAGATTTTGAGATTAGAAATTACATAAATATTCATCACCCCCATATTTTTCACTCACATGGAGTTTAAAATCCATCCCTTTGCTAGCTGTGCTGTTTCTGTTACGAGCTTTTCTTTTAAGGTCTGCCACCATTTATTTCTACCTTCCAAAATTGGTACTTTATTTGAATCCCTTTGCATAAATGCGTGTACATATAATTGTTGCTTTTGTTGTCGAATACCTTATTCTGCAACCCCTTCTCTCTCCCTGTTGTCAAGAAATTGTTCTACCTAAAACTTTTGTTTATATTTTTTGGTTATGAATATTGTTACCAACTTGTGTTTTGGGAAAATGCAATTTATGGCCTGGAACTAGGAAAATGGGAGCGTGTGTGTGGGTTAAGAATTTTCAGATGAACATATGGTTGGTCAAGGAACCTTGTGATGGTTATTGTGTCAAGGTGATTTTTGAGGATTTTGTTTTTTATTGATTTTATTTATGGTATTTATTTAGTGTTTCAGCTTTCCAAGGAATGTGTGTGGGAATATAGATGTGTATACAGTTGACTGCTTTTTATCTACAAAGTTAATTATAATCATTCGAGTACATCAATGACGATGCTATTTGCTGGAACACTTTTTTTGGTGATCTTTACCCTCTTGTAACTTGTAAGGATTGGAAGCTTTTGTCTCTGAGCTTTAATTTCCAAACCAATGGTTGAAGCTTGTATTACTGAAAATTTTCTGATGCGTTAGTTAGCTTCTTTAGACCATTGATCAAATGTTGTTCTATATATGGCCTTATCATTGTTTGTACTGTTGATAGGACTTATGGTATTACTTGCATCCAATTCCATTATGTAAAGTTAAAGAGGTTTCATTTATGGTTTTCTGTATGCTCTCTGTTCAGTTCAGGTGTTCTCATTCATTGCTTGTCTTGATGCACAAAGTGTATGTCGTGCGGCAGCTAGATGCTCTTTTACATTTCCACAAGCGTGCTGCTGTCCCGACATGTTATTCCAATATTAACTTGACCATGGGAGTGCCTAAGATAAACAATATGATAGTTAAATAATAATTCACGAGAGAGAGCTGGAATACAAAAGTTCTGCAGTGAGACCTATAAGCTATTATACCTTGTCATTCTTTAATTTCTACTTAATCTGCCTGCTTCAACCTTGTTTTCTTTCATAAGTTGGTTTGTATGGTAGTGGAATGTCATCTTAAATCATGTCAAGCAATGGAGGATGTTGCCCTATTTTAGATTTTTTTTTTTTTTTTTCCATACATAAGCGTTTTTGTATTTTGCTGAAAAATATGATAATATTTTTTCTCTTTTCAGTTCCCTTAAACTTGAGATAGTCCAGCCTCAGCCTACACGCATTACCAAGATCTTCTCAGGTGATGGTTTATACTATTTCTATGAGGAAATTTCCCTCAAACAAATATGGATTTTCTTGGAATGTAAAAGGTTCAGACAAGAATAACAAAGGAAAACACTCATCTCAAATGCGATCTGTCACTTTTAACACTTCCAAGAAAGTCGTCTTTGGGAAACTCCTCCTTAGTCAATGTTTAATTCTCATCTCTAAACTAAGTTGCAGGAATTACCATTTATTCGATCTGTTCTTACAAATTCATTCATTCATATTTGCAAATGCAACAGATTAGGGTAGCTGCTGTGAAGTGATCGATCATGAGATCAGATGCAATATCTTTTCTCACGGTCTTCCAACTTCTGCAAATGTGGCAAAGCTTATTTTCGATACAGAGAATCATGAATAAGGTATTCATTAAAAACATGTTACTTTACAGATTCATCATATATAGTTCGATAATTAAACTTATATTAATTATCCATCTTTATGGAAAGAAGACATGCTAATATTATTATTATTCGGTTTTGAAAATGTCTATTTAGTGTTTGATAATAAATTGCATGTGCCTGACATAAATATGAATATGATTGTCATGCTTAATTGTTAGAGTTGACTCTTGTTTGCTATATTCAGTTTATTTCCTCTCTAAAATGCCGATGAGTAGTCATTTCCTTATCAATATACATGTTAATCCATCCTGTTAATCTCAGAAAGCAAGGGCCATTAATGTTATTATTATGATTATGATTATTATTATTATTATGCAAATTGGATTGTTAAGTATTCTACCTCTTAAATAGACTATATATTAATATCAATGATTTTAATTAAGTTCTTGTATTTCACTTTTATAAAATTCAATATCAACATTTGTTTTTAACTTCTTTTTTTTTTGTCAAATATGTTGTATTAATACTTGATCATCGTTATATATAGTCATACTTATTTATTCTTACACAATAAATGAACGAATGTTAGTGAAATTTTTAATATAACTATTTTTATTATAAAAGTATAAAATACATATTTATTCTTAATAAATTATAATATAATCTTTGTGTAGATGTCGGTGTCTAAGAGTAAGTTTCTTTGTGTATTCAAGTTGTTCTACTGAGTTTTGGATAAGGTGATTTCTAGAAGTGTAGGAACAAATCAATTGCATTTGAAATAATAATGTTTTTAAGAGATGTAGGCAATCTCTCTATTCGATGCCACTGTTAAGGTTTATAAGTGACATTGCGGATGAAACCTCCTTTGCTACCTCTGGAAGCTAATATCTGAACTAAATACCTTGTAGCATGCGGTGCTTGGGCATTAGTTCCTCCCTTCTCTTAGTTTCCTTGCCTTTTTATGCTGCTCATGGTGCAAGAACTTTTGTTTTCCAAGTGGGACTGTCTTTCATTTAATCACCCAATAATCAATTTCGTGCATCACTTCATTCATATTTGGAAGAAATCACGCCATTACTTAAGTAGTTTTAGGATTGAAGGCACTATATAATAGATTCATTCATATATATAGAGCACCCACTATCTATGGTATTGAAATTAATATAATCATTCCTGTCTGAAGATTTTTGTCAATGATACTGAGACCTTTGTGTGCTTTTGATATTCAGGTTCAGATTTCAAGTTGAGGTTATGGGATATAGAATCTGGGTGCAATACACTCGTGAACTTTGAAACAACACGTCTACGGCTATTCAAATGGCTGTGTCCCAAGACTATCTCTTGCTTTTGTTTCATGCATTCCAGCCACAATATATGAAGCTAGGGAGGGTAGATATGGACCTGTTTTTAAGGTTAATTTAGTTACTTGTGATTGATTTCCTAATTCTGATACTTGGATCTCCATATATGCTCTAAAATCAAGAATTGATTCAAATGATCCCACCATCGCTGGAACTGAAAACAGGGGAAACTTCTTGATTTTTTTCTTATTTCACAGACCAGCCCCTTTCAAACTTTTTGTATTTTCTTTTGATCTGGATATGCTGACAAAGTTGAATAAGAATACATATCAGTCTTCCCCAGGTATTGAACCAGGCTTGAATACAGACAGGGCATAGTTTGGATATTGTTTTCAGTTGCTCTACTTTTGTAAATCTTATGATAAACTTTTTAAGCGTTTAAATGGTTTTTAATTGCGGAAAAAAAATTACCGAAGGCTGATGGCAGGCCACGGATAATTATTAGAAACATAACTTGTCATAGTTGTTGCTGCATTTTTGTTCCAGTCGTGGTCACCTTACTCAATCTTCAGTTACTTTTTCTATGCAAAAGCGAACATTCTTTCTTGCCCTTTATTGTTAAACATTTTCGTCACTTTTTAAAGGTGGGAGTTAATACATATTATATGAAGCCTTTAGAAGTGGCCAATTATGGTTTATAACTATGATTACACCTGTAAATGGGATCATTGCCAATGGAGGTTTGTTTAGTTGCCATGTGAGTAGATTCTTAGAGCACACTATATTCTAATTTCTTTTTTTCCTTTTTTTGTTTCAATAGGTTTGTAAAACAGTCGAAAGGCCGAGATATTCGAAATTATTAAATGAAGGGCAGATTACTCAACTCCTTAAGGTCACATGCCGACGAATCCAAGAAAGAGAGCCTGACATTCTCCAGGTTAGTCTTCTGGTGTAACATTTACAATATTGTGGCACCATATTTAAATCGGTTCATGGTAATTTCTTTGTTAATTTTTATTTGCACTATTCCATCTGCGTTGGGCATGGATAATGTAAGCATTTACTTTGGGGACGTTCTTGGAACTCTTCCTTATTGTACTAAGTTTTGCTTTCCTTATCAAAATTTGAATTTTTAATATTCTCCAGATAGTGATTACTACAGAGACAACCAGAGATCCATCTTTTTTGCTGCTCGATGTAAAGGGCAACATCGTGATACTTTTGGAGCTCAAGCAGTTTATCAACTTGTGCACACTGGAATTTCACCCGGACTTCTACATTCGATAATCAAGCATGCAAACTTGGAACACCGACTTGTAAGACGATGAACAAGTTGATTCTGATTTGAATTAGCTAGCTTATTATAAATTGGTAATTGAAGTTCAATTTTACATATAGGAAAACCAAGATGGTGCCTGTTCCTTTTTTGAGCAAACTATAGATTGAAAAAGGAAAGGAGCAGGCACAGACTTTTCCATTGTAGTTTGCACAATATTCATGCTTCATATACTTGGTATGCTTGATCTTTCAAAGTTTTCTTGGCTCTTTTCCTCAATATTAGATTCCAAGTAGCTGAATGCAGTGCTGATTTTCAATGCACAATATTTTAGCACTATGTACTTCTCTGTTATGCTGTAACTTGTGCAACATGTACATTAATGTTGGCAATCGAGAAGGTAAAAATTTCCCAACGCACAAGAACTCTCTGATATTTTTCTCACCGTGTTTTCAAACCAGTTCTTACAAAGCAAATAAACCTAGGTGTACCCATAAGAATATTGTCTAACCGCATTCCAATTAAAAAAAACCCAATTCAAAACAATTACTACCTAAGAGGAGCAATTAGATTTGATTGTCTAACCCCCGGGAAGGAACTATTCAACCCGGTTGTCACCTATTCAAGTGCAAATACAATTACGGATATCCTACCTGAATTGACTTTAGATTATCAGACTAATTTAAATATTGGTACCAAAATATTCAATCAATCTAACAATCACAAACGCTATTATTTAGACAAATCTTGATAATAAAAAAAAACTTTTATAAAGAAAATCAAGAATTTTCAAAACAAAAGAACCAAAACATTATCACCCCTCAAACCAGAAAAGTATCTATTCCATAATCAAATAACAAATAACAAAAGAGAAAGATAAAGTCATAGTGGGAGGGGGAAATCTTCTCTTCGATTTGTTCATGCGCGATCTATGAATCTGTCAGTCTCCTGCTCCTTTGCGTTTCTGCCCTAGTCGTTCTCTCCCCCAATAGGCGTGTGTTTTTTTCCTCTTTAAAATGCTTGTCTCTTCAAATACCAGACATAAATCATAATGCCAATTAAATGAGTTTGCCATCCATATTTCTTGGTTATTATGCCACTAGTCCCTAAAGCCATTAAAATCATTCTAGGAATATCAAACACAAAGCTTCCTAATTTAAGTTTTACAACAATTAATACTCTATATGACATGATCCCAGTAGTTGAATTGTTATGTGCATCCTCAAGAGCTTCTTAACTTCCTACAAATTGCCATGTCAACACAACTTCTCTCTGGACCAATACCAGGTCCTAGTGATGTGCATCCTTTCATAGATGCAGCAGTGGGCCAGGTGAATGTCAAATAACTTTAGAAGCTTAGCATTCACTTCTTTTCCAATTAATCGGTTGGTGTTTGATGTGTTTCTGTAGGAATTAGGAAGGCACACTGACTAATCTGGTTGTGTGCAAGTTACTACTCAAATACATGCAATTCCCCTTAAATACATTGCCTTCTACAATAATCTCTGAAGGAGGGAGATCAGCTTGGTGTTATTAAAAGAGTTGGCTTCATAGCAGGTGTTGCTGCAAAAGTCATCATCCATCTTTTCTGTTTCCATGTTACTTGACTCTTATACGGTATGGATTTTCCGATTTTTGGTTGAAATCCGTGTGGCAATTAACTAATTTGGGATAACTTGTAGTTATAATTTACATAAGGAAAACTTGTTTGGTATCAGTATTTGTGCACTTGGTTCTCTTTTACTGTTTTCAAGTTAGAGGGGGCAACTCATCATTTTCTCCTTGTATCCAGATTATTGTTGTTGCTAGTACTTAGCAGAACTTTTATCCGCTTTTTATCTCTATTGTCCCGACTGAAGTATTATTGGGTATTGCTGCCCTTTAACTACTTAGTTAGCTGGTGAAGCTTCAAAGAGTCGATTAGCAGAAATCAGTCTCAGTGTTTTGTTGATTCTTAGTTATTAATATAGATGTATTTCAGTGGAAGGTATCAAGGATAAAAGAAGAAGCATGTTTTTTGGAAAACCCTTTTCACAAAGCAGTAGAAAATGCTTGAGATGTTGAATGTATGATCTTCTGCAATGCTATATTCTTTATTATATTAATTTAATTATAGTTTAACCTACTAAAGTGGATGTGGTTTGACTGCAGTTGGTCACGTTGACATCGAGGGAAATGCACATAGTGGTCTTCTTGTGCGGTTACCATTTGCCTATCTATGTTACACACTCAGAATGTAAGTGATCAATTTTCCTTGTGTACACTGGAAATTATAAATTGATTTACAAGTGTTAGCACGTCACGTGCATGCAAGTTCACTCAAGGACAAATGCATTATTGTGCATGATTCAAAATTTAAATTGCATGCAAGTATTAAAGTCTTTTATGTCTAATATTTTGAATCATGGTAACGTGCCTAGGGTTTTGCTTCTTCAATTTATTAAAATAATTTAATCCCTGTCCGTTGGATGCCTATATATATGGATATTTTTTCATTTCTAAACAAACTAACAAACTTTCTTCTCTTCCTTTCGTTTCCGGTGGTTGTATTTCTTTTTTACTCGGACGTTAGTAGATATTTCCGGAAAAATTCTGGCATCGATTCTGCTTCTCTTGAAGCTTTAGGGTGCGTTTGGCAATTCGATGTTAGCTGCTAGCTGATTCAATTAGCTGGTTTGACTAGCTGATTCAATTAGCAGTTTGTATTAAAGTGTCTGGTAAAATAATCGTTTGACATTAGCTGTTTATATTAAGGACATTGATATATTATTTTTTAAAATATTTAATTTTGTTCATTTTGGTTTGAAATTTATGAGATTTTTTGTTATTAATTATTGAAAATTATAAAAATATTATAAAATATTTATTTTTATTTTTATTATTTCGATCCGAGAAAATTATTTTTATTAAAAAATAATAATTTTTTATTAAAATTATGTAAAATATAAAATAATAAATCTTTCGTATATATATTTTTATAATGTTAATTATTTTTTTAATATATATAAATAAATTAATAATTTTTGTTTTTTTATTTGATTTAATTTTAAAAATTTATATATTTTACAAATAAAATAATTTATATGTAATAATTAATTATAGTAATTATTTTAAATTTACAAAAATATATAATTTAATAAATTAAATATATTAAAAATAAATAATTAAGTTTTAAAGGTAAATAAAGAATTAATTGAAAAAACTCTTTCAAAAGGATAGATGAGCTGAATTAACTTTTTGTGTCCAAATAGCTTTTTTAAAAACTAATTTACCAAATACCTGAATTATCTTTTTGACCGGTCAAACCGCTAAAACTGTTCAATAAGTTAAAAGCTCTTCAAAACATCGTTTTCCAAACACTCTCTTAGTCTTCCCAACACTATTAATTTATCTCGTTTTAGTTCTCCGGAGTTCCAAAATATTGGGGTGTCACCTAATTTGGAGACGAACGTCATTTTATCTTTAAAAATATTCCGCCACAAACCAGAGGCACTGCCGAAGCATATTCATTTTTATGGAGTTTCAATTATTGGTAAGGCAGTCATACTTCCTTCAACTAGAACGGCATGGAATTGATTCCATAATGGAATCATGTATCCATATTTGGCGGAGTGGGTGAGCGTACTCGTGAAGTAAATGATCAAAGAGTTTTTATCTCGACTCGATGTGATTATCGAATTTATTTCGATAAATTGTGATTATCAAGTATTTAGATAAATTGATTATCAAATTTATTTCGATAAACTTTTTGTGATATCGAATTTATTTTGATAATTATATTCTTGTAATATAATAACATTATTATATTACTACATAGCTGACTCCTGAGTTTCAGGTTCCGATAGATTCTTCTATTTACACTATAAAAAAAATTGAAATTTAGTTAAAAAAAAATAATAAAAAATATTGTAGAACTATCTGACCTAAGTTTAATCATTGTTTGATATTTCTTTTTCTTCATCCTTACTTTGCTGCTTCACAGGCAGTGGTCATTGCCTTCTTCTTCATTTTGATAATAATTCAAGCATTGCAGCAATTTCTATTTGTTTGTTTGTTTGATCTTTTTCTGTTTTAATGGATATATTTGGAAGTCATTGTTGGATTATTGTTGGTTCCGTCAATTTTGGAAATTTTATGATATTGACCTAGTTACATTGATCAATGGATGAGACAGTTAATAATTTGATTATGTTGTTACTGTATTGTACTCCCTATATCCCAGTTAAATTGTTTACTTTGTCTATTTTTGTCCGTCCCACTTAAATTGTCTATTTCTATTTTTGGTAAAAAATTAATCATTATAATTAATTATACTTATCTTAATTATAATTACCATAATTATATTAATCAATTTTCAAAATAATAAAATAAACATAAAAAACCACTAAATATCTATTCACCCTACCCACCCATCTCAGTTGAAATCGAGCCCGAGCTAATTTAAATTCTCTCTAACCATCCCCTTTCTCCTCCATCTCCCCCAGAAATTTTGTTACCGCCATGGATTCTCCGGCCATCGTTGAGTCACTCCGTGGCCCTCCCCGGTAGAACAATGGAGTCGTCACTGGCCGCCCTCATCAATTTCTTAATTGCCGCTATTTAAACAAAATCCTAACCCAACCCCAACCTTAACTCACCATTACCTTAACTGCGGGTTTTCATTTGTCGACGATGATTCAACCACTATGTATTATATCGAGGTTGAAAACGCCCGAACCTACGACGTCGATGGGCAGATCTATTCACCCCCTTCGTTGGGGTTCACGGTGACGGCGACTCCTTTCGTTTCTTCGAGGAGCAGTTGGTCGCCAGTGTCGACGATGGTGGGTGGATGCCGGATACCGAAAAGCCTTTCGATCTAAGGTTTGACATATGGGTTCAAAAGGAAGGCGCCAACAACATCTCGGTTCCCTATTTCCTTGCCGGAAAAGGTCGCCGGGGTTGAAGGCGGTGCTGCCACCGCTGAGACGGAAAATGATAAAATTTGGACAAAATTAGGGTATGTCCTTGATTTGGAGGAAAAACACGATAAAGATGTGTCCTCAACTCCTTCCCGATTCTATGTATCATCGTGTTCACGTCCCTTTTGAGGACGTCAATGAGATCTATTCTAATCTTTTACTTTTGTGGTAACTGCTCTCTGTGAAGTGATATATACCATCGCTAAAAGAGAATATTGCATTTCATGGTTGTTTAAGTTTTCAATCATGAATTTGCTTAATTTGGCATAGATATACTGTTACATACTCTTATGTGTGCTCTGTTATTGTTGGGTTTAGAGTAGTGATCAATGTTTTATGATGGAAATTGAAAACACCCTTGTATATTGGTATGTGGATTTTTCGACCTTGAATTTGCTTTCGATTAGCGACATGTACTCACAGTAAACATGTTTCACGAATTGCTCTCAATTTTTTAAGTACCAAATTGAATAAATTTGGAGAAACAAACATTTCATCAAATTGTATTTTCATTAGGCAGTGATTGCACGGTATTTACACCTGCATTTGAGTGATCATTTCCAAAATATAAACAGTCAAAATGATTTAAGTCAGAATGATTTACAGCGTA